TACTGACTCAGAATACTTAATGGCATCTACTTTCCACTCTTTGTGTTGTGTTGTGTGTGTGTGTGTGTGTGTGTGTGTGTGTGTGTGTGTGTGTGTGTGTGTGTGTGTGATTCAGCTCTCCTATGTGTATTTTGGCTCTTTGCCCAAGGGCGGCTCCCCTCACTGCACTCCTCAGCTTTCAACACATTCAAAAATCCCTTTATTTCTTAAATTAGGTAATTTATTTTTTAAATTTTTTTTACTTACTTAATCTCTACCAAATCAACAGTTTTTTTCACCTTTTTGTCGACCTTAACCAAATGCGTGTGTGTGTGTGTTTTTCCTTCACAGGAACATCTGTTTTTCATCTAGTCTCCAGTTCTCAGCACAAAAGAAAAAAAGGAAAAAAAGGGGAAACAGCAGCAGCTRCACCACCACCCTCCAGTGGCTTTCTAAGCAATAAGCAAGAGCCTTCCTCTTAAGCAGAGCAAATACTTTTGTTTTAATCAGCAAAACATTTATACACATTTAGCAATCATCATGCAGGTTGTAAAAATGCATTTTTCAAACAGCCAGCATCTTTGCATTTTAGAAAAACAAACACAGCCTCTGCATTCTTTCCACAGCCAGCATCAGCATAAGTMTCTTTTGTCTTGTCCTCATTTAAGTAATAAAAGTCAGCTTTTTTATATTTACTGAGTTTGTGCTAGGGGACACACGCATGAGCTGCTGAGCTGTTGAGCTGCTGAGTTCTCAACGAGCTTAAACAACTTAACGGATAATGTACTGGTAAGCTTGGTTCTCAGGTAACTATATTATATAATTTCATACGTTCAAGGCATTTATAATTGATAACGTCATAACTGTTATTAATTTACTTTTCATTATAACAAACTGGACGGAGAAACTGTGGAGAGTCTGGAGTTTTTCATTGACGAGTATTTTGAAAAAATAGTAATGGGTAAACCCAAGCATATCTTCGGCAGCGCAGCTAGCATGACAGTTAGCATGCCTACATCAAAGAGGAATCGCTCTGCAAGCTCCGACGATATTTCAAATATTTCTCCAGAAACGACAGGCTTTAAGGACATACTGGAGTCTATCAATCAAAAGCTAAGCAGTTTAGATAGCCGGTTAGCTTTAATGGAGGTGTACAAGAAT